CCCCCCCCCCCCCGAAACCCAAACCCCCGCGCCCTAAGCCCTGGATCTCAAGCCTAAGCCTTACACCCTCGATGCCCGGAGCCTTGCCCCTTATCCATAACCTCTGGACAGCCCTTAAGCGCTCTACAAGCCATGAGCCCAAAGCTCGGAGCCCAAAGCCTGTATCCAGGCCCAACCATGTCCGGAACCGCGCACATGCGCTCCGATCACTACTCGACTGATGTCAGAACTCGGCCATAAACCCGAAACTCTAAACCCTANNAACCCTAAAACCCTAAGCCCTGAGCCCCTATAACAGCCAAAGTTTGAACCTGAAGCCGTGAGCCTTCGGCAAATTAGTTTTGTTGCCAAGTATAGTTTGCAGAAAATTAAAAATAGAGGCGCGCAGTCTGCAGCAAAACAAATCCGGTCTTTTGGAGCATGTGTCTCGAAAGAAAACTGTTTTCCTAAATCCGCAGAGAAAGATAAGGAAGATCAAAAAAATCTCACTAACAAAAATATTTGCTCAACGACTGTGCGTTCCGCAGCAGAACAGGTAGCAACTTGTTAAATTTCACACCCAAACATTTCGAAAAGCGCTTGCTTTTAAGTTCAGCCTCCGCCGCCACTATCGCTGCCGCTTTCTTTCACGCTGCGGGGGCCCGCAAGGCCAGCAAATCCGAGACATAAATGTCTCGGAGGGCCCGCAAACCAGCAAACCGAGTGATGATCTCCGCCGAAAAATGCCATTTCGGGCTACGGGGGCCCGCGCGCCGGCAAATCTGAGTAGCTCAGAGGGCACGCAAGCCGGCAAACCGAGCCAAGAAACCGTTTACCCGGCGAAATTGCACATGTCATTGTGTATTCATAATTGTTATACAAAATACGTCCATCGCAATAATAATGGGTATAATTTGTGAACTGCACAGCGTCAGGAACTCCTTTTATTGCCAGCGACCGCAGAGAGCGGCGAGAGATCCGAGAGGTACCACCATCTCAGCGTTCTTCCTGTCACTGAACGGCTACTTACTGCCTGGCCCGAGGGAGGCGTCATTCTTCCGCTGCTGGAGGCGCTGCTTCTTCTTCGACTTCCTCCATGCCTGTCGCGTAGAAACAGAAAGTCGATGATGTATTACAAGCAGGGTTACCTTTGTTAGCATCTACTAAGTTTAAGCTCTCGCTGTCAGTGTCAGGAACAGCTAGCCAAGGCCCCTGCGTTGCGGCTTACGTAGTCATGCTTCCTCTTGTTGACGTCGCCCTGCTGAGTGTTCTGGGGCGTCAAGTCCAAGACCGTTGGGGATGCCTCGGAAATCCTCGCCGACGGAGCAGGCAAGCCACCTTCTTGAGCAGCTCTGGGCTGCTCACCTTGTAGACGTACCACCATCTCTGTCGTCCTCGCGTCGCGATCCCTTGTGTCTAGACGCTGTGCCTCCACCTCGTCCGCTGCGCCTTGCGCATGGGCATCAGATGTGCTGGAGGGAGGTACCACCATCTCGTCCACAGCACTGTGTGATTTGGAAGGCGAGGCGCCGAAAGGCCCCGGAGCGGCTCCGTAATCCAGCGCAGCTTTGACTTCTGACTCATGCGCGTGGCAATAATGGTCGCGGAAAACGCGAGCATCCGAACGTTGTTGAATCTCAAGCACGACATGCTCGCTGGGCGGCCTCGTCTCTGACTTCTCGTGGTTGTGCAACAGAAGTGCCGCGCTTGTGTGCCGCGTCGCCCCATGGACCGTGATGCGCTCACCTTGAAACTTGGCGCTGGGATTGTAGCGACGCTTCTTAGTCAGCTCGAAGAGCACTTGACGAATGTGGTCCAATGCCTTCCAAACTGTTTGTCTCGCCATGCACGGCCGGCATTTGCGACGAACAGAGTGGCTCGGAAACAGAAATGAGTTTTCCTTGAAATCGCAGTGGAAGGGGGTCCTGCGTAAAGCTTTGAAGCGGGTGAAGACCTCTGGATGACTTACCTGGTACGGCTCCAAGCATGGCTGGATGATCCACGGCTGGCCTTCGCGCTCGAGCTGCTGCAGCGACTGCACTGCCTCCTCCGAAATGCGTGCGACAAGCTGCTCGCAACCCATCTTTCCCTGCCCGCCGTACCCTTTGTCTTCTGGGCGTCTCTGGAAAAGCACGTGAGGCTCGTCGTGATGTTCTCCGCCTGCCAGTTTCACGTCGCTGCCTCGAAGCAGCAGCGCTTCGGAAATCCGACGAGACGTCACAAGTGTCAGCCAGAGAACGATGGCGTAGACCGGACCTGCAAAGTACGTAGCCACTGCGAAAAAGAGTGGAAGGTCCTCCCGAGGCACGTACAGAAACTGCTGGCCAGTTTTCTTGACTCTTTTCCCTTTGTTCCAGGCTTGCTTGGTTGCTGCGGGTACCACCACGCGCTTGGACGCTTTAGCCTTTGCCGATCTTTTGGCTGCGGGTACCACCACTCGCTTGGACGCTTTAACTGCAGCCTTCGTCCCATCCGCACGCTGCTTGACACTTTTCATGTTCTTTGCTGCTGAGGGCGACGTTCCTTTCTTGCTTTGCGCGCCCTCTGCTTTCGAGCTGCAAGCCTTTCTGCTGCTGGCTGCCGCCATGGCGTGGCAGCGCTTCTAGACAGAACTATGTTTGAGCAGCTGGGCAGTGTTCTGAATCTTAAAGTCTAAACCTACAATCAGGAGGAAGTGGGGGGACTAGTGCGAAGTCACCGACGAAGGGGGGAGGGTTGCGAAGTGGTTCAGTTAACCGAAGGGGAGCACTCTCCTAAATGATTCTCTTAATCCTGAGTCTAAGCCCTATAGAGGATGGAGGTAGAGGACGAAGCCCTTTACTCAGCCCGAGGAGGAGGTAGAGAAGGAAAGCCTTGGCGAAGGGATCCAATTAAGGACGACAGTCCTTAGCCAACACACGCCCTGAACCCTAGACCGTAACCCAAAACCTTTAAACCAACCTTAACCTCAGACCTACCTAGACTCTGGAGAGCAAAAACAATGGCAATTAAACCCCAAGTGGTCCAATTAGGCCTATGCCCTATAAGGTCTAAATCCAGGGCCCTACCTTGCCTTATAAGCCCTATAAGGCCGACAGGACCCTAGACCGTGGCCCTAAACCCGAAACCAACCTTGACCCCCAACCATCCAACCCCAAGCATGCCAGGCCGTGCTCCAATTCCCAAAGCCCTACCATCCATGCCCCAACCATCCATGCCCCCAACCATCCAACCCCAACCATGCCAGGCCCTATATTTTGCTCCAATTTACCGAAGGGGGGGTCGGTAAATTGGGACCAAATATAGGGCCATACCCTCTCTTTTTGCCTTGGAAAGGGCAGCTCTGTCGCAGCCTTGATGCTGTTTCAAAAACAACACAATCGTACATGGACCGCTCGGCTCATGAACTCTGTGCAAAAATGGCGTGGTACCACCAACGCCGCCCACCAGCACTCCTCAATTTTGCTGGCTGGCCATGTACAACTGGAAGCTCTCGCTCCAGGCGTGCCAGCTGAACCTGCCAAGCGGGTTTAGTCTTGGGGTTTCGGGTCTACGGTTTAGGCTTTAGGGTTTAAGGTGTAGGGTTGAGGGTTTAAGGTTTAGGGTTAGAGCACATGGTCCAGGGGTTAGGAGGCAGGTAGGCGAAGTAGGCTTACGAATAATCATTTTAAAGGGTTTGGCTTGGCGTCCGTGCCTGAGGCTCTCGTCGCGCCAGCGGCGGCCGGAAATGTAGGAACGCCTGCCGCCTCGCTCTGGCTTGGTCTTGCAACCTGCAGCCCACTCGGCGTTTGCTCTGTGGTACCGCCAACAGGGCTACTCATTTCCACACCTTCCCTGACTGCCGAATCTTCTGCCATCCTCACTGCTGTGTTTAATGCTTCGTCTTCGGGGGTAGTTGGCTCCGACATGATTCAGCGCGGACTCCTGCTAAGTGGCTAAGGCTAGGCCGTGCTTTGGCGGCGGTTGTAATGATGCAAATGAGCTGTGCGTTCCCGCGCATCAGGATCACACAACCTAACCTATTTATTGTGCGTTTCAGGGTTGTCTCTTTATATAGAAATAATAGTAGCACATGAGCTTATAAGAAACGCTTCTGCTCGGAGTACACATGTCTTTGAAAATGTCTTACGAATATTTAGAGTTGGGGGCTGCACCTCAGCTTGCGCGCACCAAGCCAAGCGCACGTTTCCAGAAAGTGTTTTAAAAGAAGACAGCAGCAAGCGTGCACTTAGAGGAACAGCAATCGCTCCTGGTGTGTGATTTTGCAAAAGTCAAAAAAAATTCCTCAAATCCAGTAAAAGTCTTTTTCCAGCACGGGGAAAAAAAAAAGATATCCCCAACAAAAAGGCAACGCAGGCAACGGACTAAACAGCAGCAAGTTAAGGGCCGAGGCGAGCGAGGGATCCCTACGCTGCGCCTCGTACCACGCGGTTCTGATAGAACCCGTAACCCTAAACTCCGAGACCCCAGC